GGGGGGGGGGTAGTTTTAGGGAATTCAGGAAAGTATTTTGAGCCTGATCAGGCTGTTAATTCCTCTCCTAGCCGTACAGGTAGTCCTCAACTTACAACTGCCATTGATCCCCACATTTCTGTGGTTAACTGAGGCAGTTAAGTGAGTTTTGCTCCATTTGTTGCGTTTTCATGCCACCGTTGTTAAGCGAATCAATGCAGTTGTTCAGCGAGGAACAAGGTTGCTAAATGAATGTGGCTTCCCCATGGACTTGGCTTGGCAGAAGGTCACGAAAGGAGATCCCATGACCCCAGGACACTGCAACTGTCATAAATACGAGTCAGTTGCCAAGCATCTGAATTTTGATTACCTGACCATGGGGGAGGCTGCAACGGTCGTAAGTATGAATCAGTTGCCAAGCGTCTGAATTTTGATCGCATGACACTGGGGATGCTGCAATGGTCATAAGTGTGAAAAATGGTCCTAAGTCACTTTTTTCAGTGCCGTTGTAACTTTGAACGGTCACTAAACAAAGCTGTTGTAAGTCCAAGACTACCTGTACAATGGTTCTCATTTTTGGAGCGATGTTTTTAAATTTTGCTGTCCTGGTTGTTAAAAAAAATAATCCACCAGGACAGCGAAAATAAAACAATGAAACTTTTATAATAAAAACTTAACTCCGTCTGGCCTCTCACTGCCTCGCTGAAACTTCCTAGGATTTGGGATAAAAGATCATTTACACCTGGTAGAATAAGCACTCACCTGCCCCGCCGTTACGCTTTTCGTGCTAGGGAGAAGAAGGAACTGCAGAAAATCCTGGATCGAAAACGGCACAACAGCATCTCGGAAGCGAAATCTCGCGAGAGGAGCAAAAAAGATGTGTGAGTTCAGCCAGGAGCCGAAAGAAAAGCCAAATCGTATGGTGGTTTGTGTGGGTGGGCCAAGCCAGTTGGGGATTGTCCTTAACCTGGTTTGTCTCTCCTCAGGGAATTAACTGAGATCAACAGGAGGCATATCACGGAGTCCGTCAACTCAATTCGGAGGGTAAGCATCTAACAAGCCTCCATTTTCGTAATTGCTATGTTCAATTTCCTTTTTCCTTACGGGAGCCAAGGGTATTATCATTCTCACACAATGAAACACACCACAACACTACTCTAAATAAGTGTCACACACACACACACAAATAGTAAACTAAATTAAGGGTTTATTATTTTTTCCAAATGTGTAGCAAAGAAGGGGAGAAAGATACAATTCCGGATAAACCTTAATTTATTGGACTGATGCTTTGAATTGAGCTCTGGCACACACACACACACACCTCCAAAAATGGGCTAAATATTTTTTTTTTTTCATTTCGGGAGGCCGAATTCTGAATTTGAGAATATTTCTGGCTGGTCTTTGAGGGGGCAGTCCCACATTGCAGTAGTCTAGACTGGAGCGAACAAAACGGGATCGACTTTGATTCCCCTGGAAAAAAAAAAAAGAATCGCTGGCGAACCAGCTGATGAATTCAGAAGGCTGTTCTTCTATCCCTTGGCTTATTTTCCCGCTTCTTTTTTTTTCAGCTTGAAGAGGCCCAGAAACGACGTCAGGAAAAATTACTTTTGGGACACCAGGAAATCGTGCAATTGATTGAGGACGAAGAACCACGGGTGGGTGATTTTACAAAGGGTTCACCAAGACCGATCTTGGACCTTGGGGCTAAAAGATGGGGCCGAAGGAATAGTCAGATAAGAGACAGCCGAGCCCTCGGCTGCATAATGGATGGAGAAAGAGGCTCAGAAGCAGCAGCGGGATACTACCTGTTCCACTACTGTTTCAGTGCGTGTGTGCACCTAACACACACTCATGTAACACGCACGTGCAGATCGTTGGAGGCTTTTTTTTTTTTTACTACCGGGTCGGGTGAACCGGACCAAACAGGTAGCATACCACCAAGCAGGGGTGGGATTCTATGGGTTCGGACCAAACCGGTTGTTAGGATTCTGCGCAGTTTGGAGAATTGGCAAATCGTGCCCCTGGCTGGCCCCGCCCGTCTCCTCCCGCCCCCCCTCTTCCCGCCCAGTCAGTCCTTATCGTGCATGCGCGACATCGTGCGTGTGCCTGACACCACTGATTGGGTGGGATTCTATCACTTCGCACCTATTCGCTAGAACCGGTTGTGAATATCCTAAGCAGTTCGGAGAACCGGTTGTTAGAAGAAATTACTGGGCTAATCCTGTAAGGAAGGCAGGAAGGAAACATTCTGGTGTTGCTTACAGAAACTGCCTCTCCGTTAACCCTTATTACATTCTTGGCAGGACTAGACTTCCTGTCTCAGGAACGTCTCTAGAGTTTTCTTTTCCCTCCTTTGCTGGTACTTTGCTTGTGTGGAGTGACCATTCAAAGTTACAATGGCCCTGAAAAAAGTGACCTATGACCATTTTTCACACTTACGACTCAAGAGGCCAGGCAAGGTGATGAGTGCCTTGAAGTGAGTGATATTGAGTTGGCCACGCCCAGCCAATAACATGACCACCAAGCCATGTCCACCCAGTCACATGACCACCAAGCCACGCCCACCACCTAAGCCACGCCCACAGAACCGGTTGTTAAAAAATTTGCATCCCACCCCTGGTTCTCCCCTGCCAGTCACTCCTTAAGGTATTTCTATTTTTCCTCCCGACGATCAGCTGTTCCTATGCCGGGATATCCCTTGCTGTCTTACTTGCTTCCCCAAGAAGGCTTCCCTGAGGCCTAGGAGGCAAAAAGGGACATGCAGGGTGTGTGTGTGTGTGTGTGTGTGTGTTATGCCGTCCCAGCCATTTTTGGCCTTCCTGGCTGGAGACTTCTGGGAGTTGAAGTCCGCAAGCCTTCAAGTTGCCAAGTTTGGAGACCCGGATCTGCTTTACGGTCATGTAGAATTCGTTTCTCCGCTGCGAACTCAAATGTCTCTTGGATCGAGACGTTGCCGCTCGTTTCGCCTCTCCTTTCCTCCATTCCTCCTTTCTCTTTCCTAGTTGGTAGCCCAGCTGGAACAAGACTGGCAGCTGGAGTGCTGCTCCCTGACCCAAGAGATTGGCCGGTTCCTCCAAGAAGAACTCGACGGGAGGGTCAGCAACGGGCACCCCCCGGGCACCAGCGTCAGCTCCTTGCCCCCCGAAGACGAGCTGACGGTCCTGTGAATCCAACGGAGAACAAGGGACGTCCCCGAAGGCCAGCCGGCCGCCAACGAGAAGCAGTGGGGGGGGGGAGCACCCTTGCATGTTAAACACCCCCCCCGGGAGGGACGGGGGGGGGGGGGGGGGGAGGTTAGGACCGGCCGAAAAACACACTAAAGGCACTTCTTTCTGGTTTCCTTTTTTCTTTTTTTTTAAAAAAAAGTTTTATTTTTTTAAACTTTGTGGGTTTCCCCCACCTATATATTTTTTTTTAAATTGCTAAATTGTGACGTGTCTCCTCCCGCTTCTCCGTGGTGGATCGAGACTGGAGAAAGTCTCCTTTTGTCAAAGAGGGGAGGGGGGCAACGGTTGGACAATCTACTCCCCCCCCCCCCCGAATTCTACGCACGCCCTTGTGTCCACCTATTTTGCACGCCGTGGTGCCAGTGGAAAAACACGCATGCCGCTCATTGCCTCCCGTGTCCTTTCGAATGCACGATTAGAGATGAGAGCAATTTTTTTTTCTAGCGGTGGGGGGAGAGAGAGCAAAGGGTTATTTTAAATGCATCCCCCTCCTTTTTTTCCCTTTCTTTCGTTTTATTTTTTTAAAGCGCAAGAGCTTGAGAAAGAAAAAAAATAAAAGGGAAATGTCCATTTTTGTTTGCGTCTTCCCTGCAGCTGGAATGGGCTTTGCCAGCTGTGTGGAGGGAGGGGGGGCAGAGGATACCCGGAGTGGCCACTGGATTGGTTGGAAGGCCGTCCAGGAACAAAGGACGGCGAGGGAAGAGGGACAAAAAGTTAAAGGCAGGTTGGTCCGTCCGTCTGTCTGTCATCGTTTTCGGGATGGGTCCAAAGTGGAGAAGAGTCGAGGTTGACCACTGATCAATCTTGCCCTTTCCCCCCCCCCACTCTGGAATGGCATGGATTGCTGTTATTTCTGTCTTTTTTTTTTTTTTAACGTTGACTAATAAACTTGTAATTCAATGGTCTCCCCTCGGATTCCTGCCTCCGCCTCTCCGAATGGCAAAGAATGGCCTGGTTTTGCGTCAGGCTAAGGGTTGGAATGGACTGGAATGAGCTGGAAGGGAGAATGGGGCGGTGGCCTAGAGGGGGGAGCTCTGACCTCCCCATCAGGAGGCGGCGAGTTCGATCCCAGGTAGAGGCAGATTATTTCCCTCTTTGGGCACCATGAGAATATATCTGCCAAACAAAACTCCACACCGACAGCAGGAAAGGCATCCGGCCAGTAAACAACTCTATTCCATTCAGTTCTATTCTATTCAGTTCTATTCTATTCAGTTGCCCAGGCTCCACTCCAAAGCAAGGGATTATGGGCTTGTTAAATGATGATGATGATGAATGAGCTGGAAGGGACCTTGGAGGGCATCTAGTCCAGCCACCTGCTCAAGCAGGAGAGAACCGATACTATTTTATATAAGTGACTATCTGCTCTCTTCTTGAAAACCTCCAGCGATGAAGCATCCACAATTTCTGGTAGCAAGCAGTTCCACAGGTTAATTGTCCTTCCCTGTTAGTTAGTTCCTCCTTAATTGTTGCTTCTCTCCTTTGATTAGCTTCCATCCATTACTTCTTGTCTTGCCTTCTGGGCCTTTGGACAATAATTTGACCCCTGATAATTTGACAAATACTGGAATGCTGCTATCATGTCCCCCTAGCTGAACCCCAACCCTGCAACCATTCTTCATATGTTTCAGTCTCCAGGCCTTCGATCATCTTAGTTGATCTTCTCTGAACTATTTCCAAAGTCTCAACCTCTTTTTTGTTAGTAAGGTGACCAAAATTGGTGGGTTTTTTTGGAGGGGGGTTTGGGGTTTGCGCATAGTTTTGCATATATTTCTGCTGCTCTCTCCTGGGTCGTGCTTAGAGGCAACTGAGCAGGGAGGGCAGAGGAAAACTTCAGGGGATTGGAAGTGAAGGGCAAGAGAGAGACAGAGGACGTGTTTAGAAGATGGAGCCAAGAGAGAGAGAGAGAGACATACACACAGAAAAGCTTTTCAGGGATTGGAAAGGATTGACCCGTGGGATTTATTTGGTTAAAATTTGGTAGGTTTCAGATCTTCTCTCTTCTTGTCGAAAGAAGTTTTGTCTTCCGACAAACTTGTTTGAAACGAA